CAGCCTCATGGGTCCTCAGTCTCTCCCCTGTTCCATGTTCTAGTTCCTTCCTCCCCCAGCCATGAGCATCCTGTCTCTTGCACCTGCTTTGCCCTCACCTCCTCGCCTTGCTCCCTCCTGCTGGTCCCTCGGGTTTCAGCCAAGGGGCTACCTCTTCCAGGAAGCCTTCCCGGACCATCCTGCCCCAGCCTGGGTTGGGGCACTGCTTCTGTGGCTCGCGTGTTGTACTTGTCCCCATCCTCATCATATCACACACCTGTCCTACTCGTCTGCCCCCTGGTTCTTCTGTCCCACTGGATGTGGGCTCCTCAAGGGCAGGGCCTGGGTCATGCTCAGCCCCCGGCCTTGGCACACGGATCACAGTAAATGGTTGCTGGATGCACGAGAAAGGAGGAGGATAAGAAGAGAATTGACAGGGGAAGCCGGTGGGGCTCGCAGGACCCCCTGAGCTCGGAGATGGGGTCCTTACTTCCACCTCCCCAGGACACCCCCGCAGGCAGACGACCCTGCACCCCGCCAGGCACATTCCACATTGGCAAGTGCAGCGAGGGACACACAGATGCAGACATGGAAACACAGGGCACCCTGATTTTCAGGAAATCACAACGGCCAGCCAGGCCAGGAGCAGATAGCTGCCCCTGAAAAGCCTCATCACCCCAGCCCTCCTAGGACTTCTTTTCCCACCCATCTTCTCTGCCCTGCCTCATCCCCATCAGCGCAGAGCTGGGGACCCTCTCAGACCAGGGGTTCCCTACCTCGGAAAGTCACTTTGGCGATCCGGTCGCCCCTGCCCCGAAGCTCCGAAACCGTCTTGAGGTGGACAAACAGGGCCATGCTGGTGTGTAGAGCCTGGACGCTGCCAGGCGGGAGCAGCTGGAGAAGGAGAGAGCCTGGTGCAGCTCGGCTCACACGCCTCCCTCCCTCCCTCGCCGCCTCCTCCTGCGCCCCCTCTGATGCTGCCCACAGAGACCAAGGCAACCAAGCCAGAGAGCTGCTCCTTCCAGCGATCACAGAGACTCACAGCCCTGCCAGCCCCCGCCCCTCCAAGTTGTCAGCCCAGCGTGTGTGTGTGTGTGTGTGTGTGTGTGTGTGTGTTGTGCACCCTGCGTGCAGCCTGGGAGCGCAGGCTCAGAGTCAGAATTCATTATTCAGCAGCCGCCTGCTCCCAGATAAAGCCCTGCCCAGCTTCAGATGTCTTTTCCCAGCTCCTGGAGCAGAGGTTCCTGCCCGCCTCTCAGCAGGGCTCTGCTGCACCCTGCTAGGCAAGCTCTGGCCCCAGGAGTGGGCAGATGGGCACGGATGGGCGTGTGTGTGGAAGGTGGGGGGGCGGGGGGCCAGGGGCGCGTACCCCTGCGGGGGAGAAGGAGCTCCACCGGCTGTGTGCACAGGAAGCTGGGCTGTCGCACTGGTGTTTGGTGGTGATTCAATCCCCCGAATCAAGTTGGCCACCAGGGCTGCGGGCGTCCGTGAGGCTCAGGGAGCCTGGATGGGCAAGGCCTGGCTGGGTCCCACTGTGCCATCTAGAAATCCCAACTCAGGGTCCCCCAGCTGGAAACTCAGCATCTATCAGACAACGTTAAGGCTGTGCCCGGTGGCTGCTGTCAGAAAAGAGAGTCCTAAGAGGAAAAGGGAATGTTCTGCCTCCACCTGCTCTCACAGAGATTGTACCCCCAAGAGGCAGGGTCTTGGCCTCCTGCTTTGGGACTCCTGGATCTGGGAAGACGGCGTGCTCGGAAGCCAGGCTGAGCGTGACCGGAGATGCCCAGCTACGAAAGCCTCAGAGGCTTATGTTCCACGAAGGGCGATGCTTAAGGTCCAGGACACTAACCCAGCCCCATCCTGGGGCCTGGGGATGGAGAAGGCCGGGCCGGTGAGCCTCACTGGAGCAGAACCGTTAGGACTTGTAGCCCATTAGCTGCTGGGGTCGGGGGGCAGTGGGGAAGGGCTATCTGGCAGAATTTCCAAGGACCAAAAAAGAACTGCCCTCTCTTCCAGCAACATACCCCGGGAGGCGCTTATAGAGAAAGGGACCCTGGGGACCAGGATCCCCAAACCTGGGGCCTTTGCAGGATCATCTGCACCCTTGGCCTTGCTGCTTGCTCTGTAAGGTATGCCCCCACCCCACCACTGCCTTCTGGCGGGGACTCAGCCCAACTGGTGCCCATTCCTAAAAGTCTCTGCCCCCACCCCCACCCAGGCTGGGGTGCTGCCCCGCCCCTCTCCTCTCACTGCTTCATCCTCACCATGGGGACACCCTGGTGTCCTACATCTTTGCAACCCCAGAGCCTCGCACAGAGTCCTGTGTATAGTTGGATGCCCAGTGCAGGTTGACAGGATAGGGGGCGAGCTTGGCGACCTGGAGGGAGCAGAGTCTGAAGGTTCAAAAAGGAAATACTAAATTTTTCACAGCATGCTAATCAGAGGTTGCTCCGTGGGAATTCTAGAGGCCAGTGGCCCGCGGCATGTCACAAGAGCCTCCTTCTAGATGTTTCCTTGCCACATTGCCTCCTTTTTCTTTTTAAATTTATCTTCTATTTTCTTCTCTCCCTTTCCTTCTCCAATTCCTGTTCTTCTCTCTCACTTTTACTTAACCATGTTGAAGCGAAGAGTATTTTAGCATATTGTATTTGTTCAATACGCATGAATGTCCAAAAACATTTTTAAACCAGGCAAGTTTAATGTCTCTTTAAAAAAAAAATTAACTAGGGGCGCCTGGGTGGCGCAGTCGGTTAAGCGTCCGACTTCAGCCAGGTCACAATCTCGCGGTCCGTGAGTTCGAGCCCCGCGTCGGGCTCTGGGCTGATGGCTCGGAGCCTGGAGCCTGCTTCCGATTCTGTGTCTCCCTCTCTCTCTGCCCCTCCCCCGTTCATGCTCTGTCTCTCTCTGTCCCAAAAAATAAATAAATAAACGTTGAAAAAAAAATTAAAAAAATTAACTAGCATGTTCTATAAATAAGGTTATTAGGTGACCTTTGTTCATAGGGCTTGGTGGCACTTGAGAGGAAAAAAAAAAAACAAAACCCCTCCATCTCCTCCTTAGGCCCTTGGGTGGTTCTCTCCTGTAGGGGGTGAATTTCATGAGGTCTGTGCATCTTTAGAGAAAAGCCCATGAACTCGCCCTAAACAAGGCATTGAGCTCAGCCCAACCTCAGTTTCTATATCGATAAAAGGGTAGTAATTCCATTCTGCCAACACATGGCATCCCTTTAGCGGAGACAGCTGACCTTCTGAAACCTAAGCCAGATCTTACTTTTTAATTTCCTCCCTCCTGACCATTATCCATTTCTGGAACTCTTAGTCTAAAATTTATTCAGCAAGCATACACTAGCTCCTTCCAGTAACAGGTGCTGGGGATTCCGAGGCGAATGTGATCCAGTTTCCGGCCTTAAGCAGAAGAGACAGACTGGAACGCAGGCAACACAAGAGTGCCAGGTTCATGGGCACAGTCGGCTGGCAAATTATAATGGGGGACACAGTGGGCACTCGACCTGGGCCAGGGGAACACCTTCCCAGAGTATAGCACACCTGACCTGAGGGTTGTTGTTGTTGTTTTGTTGTTGTTTTTTTTTTTTCACTTTTTTTTTTTTTTGGGACAGAGAGAGACAGAGCATGAACGGGGGAGGGGCAGAGAGAGAGGGAGACACAGAATCGGAAACAGGCTCCAGGCTCTGAGCCATCAGCCCAGAGCCCGACGCGGGGCTCGAACTCACGGACCGCGAGATCGTGACCTGGCTGAAGTCGGACACTTAACCGACTGCGCCACCCAGGCGCCCCTTGTTTTTTTTTTTTTATAACTTTTACAAATGTCTTTCTCTTTATTGCTCATATTCTGCAGGGGGGATTTAGACATACACAGATCTGACCGCAGTTTGAAGGGCGGGCACAGACTTCCACCTGGTTACAAGCACTCACTCCCCTTCAGTTCCGTTTCCTCCCCAGGCCACCGTTTTCCTGCTTCTTGCACTTCGTGGAAGGCCTGTGCACCCCCTCTCCCCCAACTCCATTGTCATCTGCCAGAGAAAGCCATTTGAGAATTCCTCTTGCAAAAGCGTCCTGCAAGCTCACTAGTGTCTGTGGTCTTCATCAACTGCCGTTTACAGAATCAAGCTGTGAAGAAAACACTTCTCGTGGGACAGGATTGGATGGAACCGTGAAGGCCAAGGGTAAGCCGCAGAGGGTTCTTGCTGATACCAGGGCTGCTGCACGGGGAGCTAGGGAGGCAGGTCTGGCCCCAAGTCGCAGAGCGTGTCGCCTTGGAGGCTGTCACCACTCTCATGCCCCAGTTACAGACTCCGGCCGGGAGGAGGACCGCTGGAGAAACCGGACCTGGGGGCACCAGCTACAGGAGGGGGGCACTGTTACGAGAAAGCCTCACCGGGGCCTTTGGCAAGTTTGCTCTGTGGCACAATTACGCCAACTGAACTTGGGTCCCGGGGACAGGTGGAAATCACACCCCCAGACCTTTCCACCATTCGCTTTTTGCCCCTTGTAAACCACTCGTGTGGAGTAGTTTGAGGGGCAAGACGAAGTGAGAGGGAAGTTCCCAGGGAGAGATGAGAGATTAATGAAGACAACTCCCCTTGAGGAACGGGGGGGTGGGGGGGGGGGAGGGGGGGGTCGCTGGCTCCTGGGCTCCCTGCAGCCCCTCGGGCTCCCAGAGCACAGCCACGGTGGGGCTGCTGCTTTCTGCTCTGTCTCCAAAGCGAGGACGCTCCAGGCTAGGTCAGCGAGTCTTGCAGGGGGCAGAAGGGCACTTGGGGCACATGGGGGCCGGGCCTGTCCACAGAGTTTCCACCCCATCCCGCGTCTGAGCGGCACCACACCCCTGCTGGTGGTGAAGCGCAGAGATGAGCCCATTCCCGGACGTGCAAGCTGAGCTTGGAGGCCCACAGGAGAGCAAGTAGGGGGCTGGCCCCGGAACAATGCAGCGGGCGGTGGCTTGGCCCAGGTCACGGTCACGTTGCCAGGCACGCGGTTGCCAGGGGACCCCGGGCTGTTTACCGTCGTCGGGCAGGGAGGGGCAGGCGCCGGGCTCGCTGCGCGCTCGAGGCACCCACCATGGCTTCCCGCAGCGCGGGCACCCTGCTGACTGAGTTCAATGCCACCTACGTGCCCCCCGGCCTCGTGCCCGGGTAAGGCCGTCGCGCCCCCCCACCCCCGCCCCTGCCTGAACCATTCTGTCGGAGCGCCACCCCCCACCCCGCAAAACCCTCCTCTCGCTAGAAACTGGAAACTCCGCACTTGCGCTTTTGGGGTTTGAAAGAAATCGGGGCTCCAGGTGTTCACCTGGCTGGGTGACCTTCCCGGGAGGGGTTGCGTGCCGCGAGCAGGCGGCGGCTGGGCGCGGACAGGGGCTCTCTCCGCATCCCTCTTCCTGGGAAGTGAGTCCCCAGCCAGCGCAGAGCATGCCCAGTCTGGGACCCGGGGAAGGGGGAGGAGAGGGAGCCACCTCGTGAGCTGGGTTTGGAGATCCCTGGGCAGGAGTGACAACGTGAGGAACTGGAGAAGGGGGGCTGGCCTTTGGGCCCCAGCCCACCTAGGATTCAGGCAACAGTAGTGTTTGTCGGATGAAGGCGAGAAGAAGACGGGTGGGCCCTGGGTGGGCTCCAAGCATCTAGCCAGGTAGTTATTGCTTCATTTGGACATTCCTTTGGTAAAGACGTGTTGAGTGCTGGAGAGGTGCCAGAGGTTGTGAGAAGACAAGCAGGGGGCTGCCGTCGATGGGTTCCCGTGGTGGTGTAGATAACAGAAGGTTTAGTTAAAAGCCATCTTTGCAGCCTTGGAGAGTGGTGTTTACACCGCATTCTGGGTGTTCACCATGAGGTTTCAATTCTACGCGCAATTATATTTTTTTCTGATGTTCCCCACTGTCCCCGGTTGGAAACTTAACCCTCCCAAAGTGTCCCCCTGCTCTGCCAGGGGAAGTTGCATATTTCGGAAGCAATCCTAGGTTGCTTCTGTCGCCGCACCGCTTGTCTGCAGTTCCCTTGAGCACTTTGTCCTGTGATTGATCTAGAAATTGTGGTAATGAGTGAATCATAAAGAAGGCTCCAAGCATGAACTGGACTAGTTTGGATAGCCGAGCCTGTATCTGTGGCTTTCTCTGCATGGATCTTTCTGGGAGGCATATGCTCACCCTAAAGATCCCCATCAGTGAGGAATGAATGGACTTATCTTATGTTTCTAAATGCTACCTCATTGGTAATTTTGTTAACTTAATGAAAGAATCCAAGATTCCCCACCACACTTGGATAATTATTATTTTTGTGCCTTTTCGAACATTAATCACAGGATTTTAAGCAAAGCCAGTCTCCTCCGACGCTCCGATCATCCCCCTTACCAGTTTGATTCGTAGAGGCAGGGAGTATTCAGAGTGGTAAAGACCTTGGAGATCATGTAGCCCTCTTCTGTTCCAGATGTGGTCACTGAGGTCTGGGGCCGGGGGAGAGGGGAACTTGCACGAGCCCCAGGCTGGCGTTGGAAGAGCTGGCCTGGCACCGGGTCCCTGATGCCTTGTGGTGGCATTGGGAGCCCCCAGGTAATGAGCACCTACTGCGTGCCAGGCACCGTGCTGGGCTCTTTACAAACATTCTGTAAAAACCCTTTGCAACAACCCAGATGAGAAATAAGCAGCTTGCCTCAGGTCATTCAGCAAGCTACCCAGCCGTGTCTTTGTGACCTCAGCACCCAGGCTCTTCTGAATCCCTCCAACTGCATCTATTATCATTAGTTAGATCCCTGCGGTGTTCAGGGACTGATTCTCGGTACCAAGGGGAACAGGATGCTGGTCTTCAGACTCGCTGGCCAGGGTGCTCTGTCTGGTCCCTTCCTGCTCTGGGCAGCACAGCCCTCAGGCACCTTGCCACTGTCTGGGCTGTGTGCCGCCCCCCTGCCGTGAGTGGGGGATTCTTGGGTCCCAGTCCCTGGGATTGTGAGGCTTTTTAAGGGATGAGATCAGCCTCAGTGGGGCTCTGTGCCTCTTGCTAGCAGGTCGACCTCAGTGGTATCCACCCCCGCCCCCCCCCCCGTCTCCGCCTCCCACCACACCTCACCAGGCTCTTAGTCCAAGCACGTGACCTGCCACCGTGCGTTCATTCACGGCCAGGCTACTACTGCCCCCGATGCCCACCGCTCCGCCAGGGGCTGTCACCAGCAACCCCCCCTCCCCCGCCCCCGACTTCCCTGCATTTGCCTGGAGTGGCAGCTGTGCCCATATCTGCCGCGGAGCTGGCCTGGGCTCCGGGACCCTAAAGTCAGTGCCTTCCACTATCAGGAGGGTGGCCGTTACCTCCAGGACGGCGGTCCCACAAAGGCGGCTGTATCCACTTCCCCAGGATCCCCGTACGATAGATCTGCTGGTAAATGTTTGACAACCAGCTCTCTGGAGACAGGGTGGGTCGTGATCTGTAGCACTCACCTACTGTCTGCGGCATCAACACCCCCACCACGGCTGACTTCAAGCCGCCAAAATGGTGTCACAACTGCAGAGCCGGGGCGGGACGCAAAACAGCGCACACAGTCATTCCGCCCTCCAGACACAACAGGCACAGCTAACCCCAAGAACACAGACGGCCGCGAAACACGGCGATACGATTAGGTGGTGATGAGCATTGGGTGTTTATTGCCTTTGCCGTCAACGTGATTTCTTTCGCTGTGACTTTATATAATTTCTTGTATTTTTGTATAATTTCGCTTTTAAGCCGGGCTTGTTTAACCACAGCCCGGACAAAAATGCTCGAAATGTAGTCATCAGCTCTCGTCAGCCAGTATGAGCCAAGACAGGCCACCTCTAGCACACCACCGCCTCCTGCCAGCTGCTTCAGGCCTGAGACCTCACCTTCCGGGTGGGAGAGGGGAGTCCTTTCCATTTCAGCCCCAGCCCTGCCACTGGAGGCGCGGCCCCGGACAGGCAGGTGCATCCCGGGCTACAAAACAAAGGCCACCTGCCAAAGGGACATAGGAGACCCCGCGTGCCCAGATAGGTCACTGAACCTCTCACGCAACCCTAAGGAACTGGGGAGCCTTTCTGAGAACAGGGGGTCAGGTGCTCCTGGAGACGGTGGCTTCATAACAGGGCCCCTCCTTCTTTCCAGAAGAATCATCAGCCCTTAAAAAATGTGCCTCCGTCTGTCAGTTCATTTCAACAAATATTTGGAGAGCAGCTACTGAGTGCCAGGACTGATGGGGGCGCATATAGAACTCCTTGCTCTCCCCCCCCCCACCCCCCACGGAGTTTATATTCCAGAAAGGAAGACTACACTAAAGGCCCAGGTAATTGCACACAGCGAGAATGTGAGGTGGGACATAAAGAGGGTCACAAAGGGCACAGACGGTTCAATGGAGAGGACAGGCAGGTCTGTGGGTGGCTCCTTGGAAAAGAGGGTATTGGACATGGCCCTTGAGGCTGAGGTCACAAGGTCGGCAGAGGAGGAGAGAAGCCTCTTGGGGATGGAGGGGATGGCCTGAGGGAAGGCAGGGGTGGAGGTGCTGGCCGGCTCTGCCTCCAGAGCTGCAGATGGCCTACTGAGCGGGAGTAGGAAGGACACGGATGTGGTTTAGAAGCTTGGAAGACCCCCTCCAGGAGGCCCGCGTCAGGCCTGGCCTGGAGTGCCTGGCTGGTTCCTTCCTCATTTCATAGACAATGGGGAGCCCTTGAAAGTTTTTGCCCAGGGGAAGGATCTGAAGGAACTGCACTCAGCAGGAAGTGTCGAGGAGAGGAGAGCGCCAGCGGAATGAGGATGTGCCGAATAGTTGCAAGTTAATTAGTTAATAAGGCTGCTCATGGGATCTCTGATGGCTCCTGGTAATTAATTTTAATGTCAGCTATGGGGCCATTTTGCTCCCTGTACACTCTCTGTACGCACAGGGATACACACACACACACACACACACACGCACACACGCGCGTGCGCACCCATGGTGGCTGCTGGGGACCCAGCTGAGCACTGTCTCCCAGCTTGTGTGCAGGTGGGTGAGGAGCCGGGCAGCAGATGAGGGGGTCCAGGAGGAGGTGTGGCAGTGCCACGGGGACTGTTGGATGCCCTGTTTCAAAACCTGTCACTCATTCCCCTCTGTTTTCTCCGCCTTAGCCAGCCCCACGGCCAACAAAAACAGGCCTTGGGAAAGCTTTACCATAGGACCACACAGGGGCTTGCTCGAGGCACACAAACGCAAGTGCATCCAGGGGACACAGACCTGGCTAGCCAAGGCGTGCCCTCTGAGCGCTAAAGAAATGTGACCGTGTGCACCTCTGTGCACACACCCGTGCCCCTCCATGAGTGGCAGGTTCTGAATAGGATCCCCAGTGGAAGCAGAACCTTAGGAGGATTGCGGAGGAGAGGGCTTCTATTGTACTGGGATGCAAATATCTTGGCATTCAGAGAAGGTGGAAAAGCGGGGAGCAGAGGAGGAGTATAGCAGAGAGCCTGGGGGTGGTGAAGACAAGAATCCCGGGAACACGTCACATGTCTATGGCTCCTTTCTTCCAAGTACGAACGCGAAGGCCCCTGTGGGTGGGACACTGCGTGCGCTTTGTAGATCAGAGCCAAGCCCCTTTAAAACAGCGTTCGGGGACGTGGTGGCCCCTGGGTTTCTGGACTTCTGCCTCCTCCAGCAGACATTTATTGAGCACTTGTCCTGGGTTAGGTGCCTCGTAGGTGCCGAGGATAAAGAGAGCACAGGTTAGCACAGGAGATGGACGAGTGTACACCTGACTGTGCACGAAGGATGTGACACACAATCTAGGTAGAGGGTGTGTGGTAAGGGAAGGCGCCAGAGAGCCCTGGTGCTGGGAGTGGGTAGGGAACTCCCCCACCCCCACCCCCCGGGACCCGGCATCCCAGGTAGAGGAAATGTGTGCAAAGCCTCAGGGGTGCGGACAGCACGTGAGGCCCAGAGATGTGATGCTTCCGGGGCCTTGAGCGCTTGTGGGGAAGTGAGAAGGGAGAGAGGTGACCACGGTGGTGTGACACATGTTTGAGAAAGATCACTCCAGCAGCAGCATGGACAACAGGCTAGAGGGGGGTGAAACTTCAGTCTGGGAGCCTGGCTCGGAGATTCAAGACCACCCCGGTGAGCGAAGAGGGAGGCTGGCTGCTATGGGGAACGTCACCTGGGGACTTGGGGAGAGAGG